TAATTTTTAAAAAGGTCATAGAATCCAATTCACCCCCCCTCTTGGATTGTGCCATTCTTTTCTAACACAAGCAACTTCTCATTTTCATTTTTTTTTTGAATATTTTTTAGAAGAAGAGTGAATAGTACACATGAAATTTTTGAAATGAGATAAGATAAGATGCGTAGAGAAGTAAAATGTACAACATGAGGAACCAACTAGCCAATATATATCATCCAACGAAACATACACACACCCCCACACTTATTCAAGAACTTATTCCCAAAACAATTCCAAAGCTCCAAAACTCCCTAAGGTTAAGGTAATCATGGTTTTTCACTTAAGGCTTGTAATGAGATTCAAACAAAGAAGGGGAAATAGGCTCGGCATGGGTTATCAGAGGACTTAATTCAAGGTAGGCTTATTTGGCTAGAGGCTTATCAGAATCAAAATTCCTTAATCCTTTCCAAACATGCATGTGAACCAAGAAATATGAAACATAGTCAAGCCAAGGATATTGTGCAAGCAATCAAGAGGCAAAACACACAAGAAAGAACAGAGAGCGGCTCAAAAACTCACACAGGGTAAATATGTCACATTCAACTCAACCTCTCAAACCTCATAATCAACTTGCCAAGCAGAGAAAGACAGGGATTTCAATCCATAGAATATCAAGTAACTCATATCCAAGAGTGAAGTAAGTGCCTACAAACTATCAAAACCCAGAAATCAAAGAGAACATGCAAAACTATATATAAAACCTAAACCAAAAGTAACAAACAAACCCTAAAAACATATAACCAAAACAATCTCCCCCCACACTTAAACCACACATTGTCCCAATGTGGCACACACACAAGATCAGAGCAATCAGAACAATCAAAAGAATTGGACATGTGAAACAAAATTAAAGAAGGAGAGAGAGAAAGAAAACTCCCTAAGTCATGGTGGTAGAGTAGCGGGATCGAGCAGAGACATCTCCTCTACAACTGCATTCAACAAGGAAGGATTGTTGAGGAAAGGCTTTAGACGGTGCCCATTAACTTTGAAGCTCTTGTTTGTGGACTCAAGTTTTGATCTCAACTGTACCATAAGGAAAAAATGTTAGTAACAACAAAATGTCCAATCCACTTAGGACGCAACTTACCACCCATGAGACCAAGCCTTGAATTATACAATCAAACTTTCTGCCCAACCGTGAAAACCTTTCTGGCAATCAAACTATCATGGAACTTCTTGGTATATTCTCAGCTGTCTTTGATGATAGAAACAATCTTTGTAACCGGGGTTTCAATGGAAAGTAACGAAGTACTTTTGCAGGCACTTTCTTCATACTATTGTCATCACCAGATAACCTAAACTTATTTATTTTTGCCCTTGCTTTCCACCTTGAAGTGTTACAAACTTTGCATGTCTCCCTCTCTTCATCTTCGCTGTTACCCCAGTAAAGCATACAATCATTCGTACATGCTTGTATCTTTTCATAGTTCAAACCAAGCTTGTTGATTATTTTCTTTGCCTCGTAGAATGAACTTGGAATGTTTTCATGTTCAAAGGCATCTTTCAGAAGTTCTAAAATCATTTTCATGGCCTTATCGCTCATCCCACACAAGCATTTGATATGATATAACTTCACCAAAAAGGACAATCTTGAATACTTTGTGCACCCTTCGTACAAGGGTTGCTCCCCATCTCTTGCTAATTCATAAAACTCATTAGCTTCACGCCTTTCTTCAGATGCATTTGGCATCATTTCTTCATCTCTATCAATCTCTACATTTGACACAATGGGTACTTCATTTCCATGGGGCCTATCAACTCCAAAAGCGTCATTAATCATGTTTTGAATAGGATCTTCAATATCAGTGGCATCTTGATCTACATTTGGACTATTACTAGTTTCTCCTATCCTTCTTTCCCCATGATGAGTCCAACTTGTATACCCACATGGAAATGGTGTACAAATTAAATGATCATACACCACATCCTTGATCTGTCTTTTTTTGAAACCACATCGTTTACAAGGACATATTATTTTGTCATTTATTGAACTGTGTTCAAAAGCAAAATCAATAAATCCCCTAACTCCTTGCTCATACTCAATTGTGTTTCGCAGCTTCATAATCCATGACTTATCCATTGCTTCAAAATTGTAAAATGATACACTCCCACTAGCATAGAGACTTTGAATAAAGATAAAGTCCTAAATTTCAGGGTATCAGGAGAGAAATAAATTATAGTAAGTGGAGCTTGAAATTAGATTAATCCATATGCATTAACATTGTCATTAATCCAAAACAACTCCATTTTTTTTATTTTATCAACATTCAAAAGGTAATCATTCACAATATTAGTTTACCTAATGAAGAGAAATATATAAAACACATGCACAAGATCCTAACCATAAAATATGTCTCAATTATTGAAAAAATACAAATTATAAAAAAAATACATGTGGATCCTTGGATGATTAAATTCCATTACATAAAACTTAAGTCACTTTTCAAATACATATGAATTTTTCCTCCTTTTAAGCAGAGTAATCTCTTAAATGCAGTAGGTTGTTAAAATAAATTCAAAATATAACAATCTTAATTTATTTGATATAATGAAAAATTGTTTGATGGCTAGTAGTTTACATTACAAGACTTTCAATTATTCAAGTCTGAGTAGAATTTACCTTTAGGATGATGTACTTCTCGCCTCCTTTTTTCTCGTATTTCAAAGTAACCCTTTCTTGGCTGTTCATAAAAAAGATAAATGAAAGGGTGTTAAAGTTGAACCAACCAATCTGTTGAAATCACTAAACTTCTATTTGTTCTTGGCTAGGTTAATTTATCATGTGACAACTACTGTGTAAACTAAACTAGACTAGACTATAAAAAACTAAAGTAATTTTTATAAAAACTAGACTAAAACAGATATGTTCTCTTCTAAACTAATTTTTATAAAAACCAGACTAAACTAAATTTTATAAAAAACTAAACTAATTTTTATAAAAAAAAAAACTAAAGTATATTCTCGTATTTTTTACAAGTGCCTTGTTCAAGTGTTGAGGACATACCTTTTAGAAAACAGATATGTTCTTGGGAGGACAAATACTTTCAAATGTACTCAGGAAACAAATTTTAGAAAGCAGAAAACTGATTCTGAAAATAGTAAACAAACAAGGCATTAGTTTCAACATGAGGAAAACTATATGAATATTTTCTCTTAAGAATTTATCAACTAATATTAACCGTGTTATAAGGGAAATGTTTAGAAAGAAAATAGATGAGCCATGCATTGTTTTCTTTTAAATTTAGCTACAATAGAATTTGCAAGAGTCAAAGGCAAAACTCATAATATTGATCAATCAGAGGTCATATATAACTTACTAAACTTAGACATTTATATTTTACTTTATTCTCTGCCTTTTTGGTTGGATTGATTTTATAGTTTCTTAGGAGCATTATAGAGGACCTCTATTGAAAAAGAAGTATAATAAGGAAAACATTAATGTGATAATAAATATTGATTGATCAAAGGGTCATATTTAGCTATGCTTTTGTACTTTTCTTCTTCTTTTCTGGTTTGTTTTCTTTGTTTTGTTTTTATTCCCTTTAAGTTCTTCATTTTCTTCTAGGATACCAGAGGAGCTGTATTGAAAAGGAAGTATCATAGTTTTTTTCTATTTTATTACGAGGAAGTATCATAGTTAAGCAAAACAAATCAAACCATGTGCATAAATGAAGAATTTAGTCAAGTCAATATACACGTACGTACGTGTATATATATATAATGGGCCTTGGGTAATTACATTAGATGCTCCTAGTTTTATTGTTGTTATGCAACATGCTCGCATAATACTAAATCATGCTTTAGAAACATATGTTTGATCAGATAATTTAGCACACCCTCTAAAGTGAAAAAAGATCTATCAGCAAGCAATAACCATGATTTCTGCCACAGATGAATCAAATGAAGCAATGAACATTTTTTAAAAATAAAATAAGGCATAAATTCATGCGTTTAGCTGTGATCATATGATGAATTGCACACAAGTCTTTTAGAACATTCTGCAACAGGAGAGTAATTTTTACTTTACATTTTACAATTAATCGCTATTCTGCCAATAGCAATTAGCAAGCACAATATAATAGATCTCAGGCAAGAAAAAATGGTTCGTAGTTAAAATATCACATAATACTAAACCAGAAACTGCTTTAGAAACATATATGTTTGGTCAGATACTTTACCACACCCTTTAAAAGTGGAAAAGGCACTCTCGGCAAGCTATTACCATGATTTCTGCCACCCATGAATCAAATTAAGTAATTTTTTTTATATGTAAGATAAAATATGAAGGCATAAACTCAAATTAATAATGAGTATCTAGTTTATATGAGTCACAAAAGGGTTATAGGATTCCTGATTATCAATTTGTCACATAGGCTCTAAGTCTTATAAAAATCTAAGAGCATCAGTTTACATGATGAATGGAAATTTTCTTGTTTCTCCTACTCTGCCCTCCTTAAAAAGTTATAATTAGTTTTCATTTTCCTTTCTTACTATCTCTGAGTGTTGATATATGTTGCACATGCAGCAAAATGTAATACCTTGTTTCCATTTTATCCATGATAGAGACAAATTAATAGAAGGTGTTGAATAAACACAATGGCTGTAATAAAAAGAAATTATCCAAGAAATAAATTTTCACATAAATAGTTTTTTGGAAAAGGGTAACTTGCATTTTAGAGTTCATCGAAGGTTGGATGTAATTGTTTCATCATAACACAACCTTCTATGTAATGTCATCCCTTGGTCAAATATAATATTCTTTTTCTCAATTCCTGGTTTCTTTCTTCATCGTTATAATGGCTTAAGTGGCAATAGTCATTGTAATTTGTAACTACCTATGCAATTATTTCTCTGATAAGCTTACTGCTCAATTAGATGCCTCAATTAATTCAAGCATATAGGCCAAAACAGTATAATTATCTTCAAACAAAAATATGATTCAGGAAACGGAGTGAAAAACTTACAAGTTCATAAGGAGGTGTCTTCAAGCCATAAAATGCAGTAATTTTTGAGGACCTAGGTGAACCATCAAACCTCTTTTTCTGCTTAAAATACAATGAGGGAAACATGTCAGCACAAATAAGAAAGGAAATTGTCTTAGGGAAGAAATCTCCCGTGAGAAATTAGGATTCAGCAATGATATAAAATCAATTCTAATCTATAAAAAAATTTTGAAAAAAAATTTTACAAAAAAAAGATCCATGGATGACAGTGAAATTTATTTAGCTTGCTCAAATACTTTAGAAATAGATCTCTTAACAATTTTCTATATTAAGATATGATGCTATCCCAATAGGAGCTTCACATTGCCATAAACCTTTTTATACCAAGAAACATAGAGAACTGACAGAACATATTTATCCTAAAAAAAACTAAGTAATAGCCCATGCATTTTAATGTAGCACATCAGGCTCGCTCAATTCAACGATTTATCATGTATTCCAAAAAAATTAAATTGCTTATTTTATTATCTGTAAGTAACATCATTTATTAAAAATAATCAAAAGACAGACATAACAACAAAAAACTACATGCAGACAATTAACCTTAAGAGCAACGCATGCTCATTATATTAAGTATATCACCAGAAAAGCTACCAAAAGAAATTACAATATTTTAAAGGGAGAACTTATCAGCAAGAGACTGACACCAAGACAACAAATATCAGCTCACGAAAGTTACCCTGTGAAGAAGCTCTGGAATCTTGAACTTTCTAGATAAATCTGCAAAAATAGTATTATGAAATGGGGGAGAAATCAAAATTTTATTGAACAATGTGTTTTTCAGGAGTTAAATTGGGTTTTTGAAGCATATATAAATGCCTATTGTTGAAAACAACTCAACAATTTGAATGCCATATCAGGGTGGCTCGCTCCAATCCACTATAGTGTGCTATTGACTACTATGATTTAAAACCAAAATGTGAAACTTGTAAACCAAACATTTGTTCATTGACCAAATAACTAACAAAATAAATCCTAATAGCAATATTAAGCTACTGCCAATGGCCTTGCACCTTAATGGCACCTAGTTTTTGTAGGAAAAAAATAGATAACAATTTCTAGACACTCACATTTAAGGATTTTAAGTCACGTTTCCTCATTCCTATTCCCCACTGAAACTCCAAAACAATAAAAGAATTGTCATAGGCTAGAGGAACCGACTAATTATTTTCAACGATACAACTCAAAACAGATTGTACATATAGCTTCCTCAAATATGGAGTAAACAGTCAGTCTATGCTACAAGCTAAAAGTCAAAAACTCAAAATAGAGGCAAAATTTACAAGTCAAGCAACTTAACTCTTTACCTTTTATGGCCACAAAGAAGGGTATTCCATGCACTGGTTAGAGCTGGATCAACATGCCAACAAGCCCCAGATCTCTCTGGTCCAATTATGAGCCACCTATAGGATGGTTGTTTATCTGTATCTAAGATATGAAAGCGATCTTCTTGAAAAAGATAAGGCACGAAATAATCCTTCAATAAGCTAGGTGCAGGTTCACCAAACTGTAAGTGTTAAAACAAATTTAAAACAACTCCAAACTCTCAAATTCTGCAGAACAAGAAATAGGAAAGAAATAGTGCAGGGAGGTGGAGCAGAGGATTATTAAAATAAGAATACACTATATGTGACTATATTGTCTATTTAAATTTGGTTATATATATATAGGATGTGTGTGTCCTCCTTTAATCAGGTAATAACTTAGGTGTTGACATATTCCTTGCAGATATTGAAGACCTTAAGGAATTCTCCAAAAGTCAGGGTGCATCAGAAGTTGGTGATTTGGGTCACTAGGACATTAACTTTTAGAGTAAGTTGCTTCGTATTGATTCTGAGGTGCATTGTACTCAATGATCACAGCTCTTTTCTAGGAAACCATGTGGATTTTTTGTTTTTTGCTTCTTATGCATACAAGGAACATTGATAAAGTCTAAAAGTTTCAATCTTTTTTATTTGCTTGAAATAGATAGCCATGTAAAATGACTTGATGAGGATTTAAAAAACTTTGCAGAAGATTTAAAGCAAGGTAAAATAATCATGCAATTTGCATTCTGATTTATTTTGTGTTGTGTGTATATCTTACATTTTCAAAATCAACCAATAAAATTATATAATATGTAACTATTACTGTTATTATAATTGTGGTTAAAAAGTTTTCAATTTAATGGATCGGGTGTAAGAGTGAAGTAAGTATATTTATATAAAATTATGAGAGTTTAATCTTCTTCTCTTTATATAAATATATCCTCTCAAAGATAAATATTGTAAATAAACTTAATATACAACAATCTCGCCTAAAAAAAAGTTGTTGATCCATGCATTTGCTGATTTGGTTTCTGATTTTTGAAAATTGCAAAATAGGGATTCAAGAAAACATCATCAAAAAGATGGGAATTCAAGCACCAGAAATTTCAGAGGGGTTGCAGGCAAATGCTAGGGGAAATAACGAGGAAAAAGTGTGACCCAAGTGTGTTTCCTTACGTACCTCAACTCTTGTTCTAAGGAAAATGCCACGAGTTTGACGAAAGAGAAGAATGAGCAACAACTAATGGAGGAGAACAAGAACCTAAAGAAAGAGAGATTAGAGCTGCAAATGCAAATAGAGTTTCCAATGTATGATTACTCACCGAAAGAGAGGCAGAGAAAAGCAAAGGCTATGAGCCCTTGAACTCGTCGTTGTGACCCTGTGAACTTGTGCCCGTGAGCAATGTTCACAGTGGCAGGGCAGAGACGTCACTCCTGAGCAGGGAGACGCGTGAACGTGAGTGAAGGAGATGAAGTATGAGTGAGCAAGGGGATTAGGTTTCTAAGAAAGGCTATGTGTTCCTGATGAAAGGGGAGGGAACATAGGGGAGGGAACATTTGAGCCTAATATTTTAACTCACTTGCGGCGGGTCTACATAAACCGCCGGAGAATAATAGAAAATTGCGTCATTTTATAAAAACCGCCGTAAGTTATAACTAAATAAGAAAGCGGCGTCGGCTCTTTAAAACCGCCGCAAAATTTGTGACGTTATTACTTTTTTTTGGTGTAGTGTGACTATAAGAAGTTCCTTGTATGAGACTATGTGAATATGACATGAGAATGTGAAAGGTGAACATATGATCTGTGATATGATATTATGAAATAATGTGACATGAGATATGATGAGACGTGATAAGTGAAATGTTGAGTCAATGAAATAGTGAATGTGTGACATGCATCATGTGCATATATGATCTATTCTAGGGGTGTCGCTTAGGCCGCATACTAGTGATGTAACAAGCTAACAAGGTATACCTTCAGTCACTAGTGATGTAACAAGCTAACAAGGTGTACCTTGGGTCACCAGTGATGTAACAAGCTAACAAGGTATACCTTGGGGTAGAGGGTGTCACACTTTACCCGTGTGGTGATCTATAGCATCATCACAATAATAGTCTTAAAACCACTTGTTCGATGGTGTGAAATAATTGGTTTGGCATTTGTAGATGATGGTTCAAGTTTAAAAGTACTATTTATAAATACTTTAACTTCATCAATTCTTTTCTTATTTAAAAGGATAACCCAAAAGGATATTGACTTTTTTCACAAGAAATTATTAATACTAAATTAAAGCATCGTACGTTAGAAGCCAAGGAATAATTAATGAATTTATTATTATATATGAAATATTAATTAAGTAAGGTCAAGTTTGGTTTACCATGAAATATGTAACAAAAGAGTTTTTCTAAAGAATTATCTTTTCATATCTTTTGAACATATATTATATTAATTTATTTTTATATCTTTAAACAATTATTAAAACATATCTAGTATGAACCAATAAGGTCGGCCTAGTAGCAAGCTAACAAGGTGTATCTTGGGTCACTAGTGATGTAACAAGCTAACAAGGTGTACCTTGGGTGACTAGTGATGTAACAAGCTAACAAGGTGTACCTTGGGTCACTAGTGATGAAATGATCTATCCTAGGTGTGCCGCTTAGGCCGCATACCAATGATGTAACAATTTATTCTAGGTGTACCTTTGATCACCAGTGATGTATTCATGAATGAACTTGCCCTAGGTATGTTGTTGTAGCAGCATACTAGTTATGAGAAATGTGAAACGTCTGTATGGCGCCACATACATGCATTTATGAGTCGAGTCCATGACATCATTGCATGATAAATGAGTATACATGTGATAATGATTATGTTTGTGTATTGTTTATATGTGATTGGTGCTTGTGACTTGTAATATGTTTGTTGTGTGTGTGTGCTATCTAACCTTTATTTCTGCACCTGAACTTGAGTGAGATGTTTCTCACTCCCTTGTTGTTCTTTGTATGTGTTTAAATTGTGTTGTAGGTGATCATCAACATGAGGATCTTGGTGATGATGCTTAGGCTTCAGTTGGGCATGCTCTGATAGGATATGTGACATCGGGGCATAGCTAGGCTTAGTTTAGGATGCTATTTCCATTAAACTATTTGAAAACCTAGTTTTATTTCTTTGTAATTTCACTGACATTTTATTTGGATTAAGTTTATGAATGTGAACTCTTTACCCTTATGTGGTTGAAGATTTGGTTTTTAATGATGAAGAATTTTATTTTTATAATTATTGTATGTATGTTGAGGTAGAGGGTGTCACATTTTACCTGTGTGGTGATCTATAGCATCATCAATTCTTTTTCTTATTTAAAAGGATAACCCAAAAAGAAATTGACTTTTTTCACAAGAAATTATTAATACTAAATTAAAGCGTCGTACGTTAGAAGCCAAGGAATAATTAATGAATTTATTATTATATATGAAATATTAATTAAGTAAGGTCAAGTTTGGTTTACCGTGAAATATGTAACAAAAGATTTTTTCTAAAGAATATTATCTTTTCATATCTTTTGAACATATATTATATTAATTTATTTTTATATCTTTAAACAATTATTAAAACATATCTAGTATGAACTAATAGGGTCAGCCTAGTAGCAAGAGATTGAAGTAATATGCATGAGATTTTAGTTCATCAAATATCACTTTTATCATAAATTTGAAATTAAATATAATAAATTATCTAATGATATATTTTTTTGCTTTTGTATAATTCTTAATATATTGTGCTAGTTTTAAAAAAAAATATGTTTTTTTTAAAAAATATCGATTTCATAATAGAATCATTAAACCTTAAATTTTAAACCTTGAACTTTTAGTTACTTCATCAATTTAATGATTGGTTTGGTTTTAAAAAAATTGATGTATGGTATATCACCATTTCCTTATTCTTGGATCTCGAGAAATGTGAAGTTTAACTTAAAAATTGTTATAATTATTACTTTTTATTTAAATATGAATAAGCTAAATAGTAAGAAATTCAAATTTTTTAAAATTCTATAGAAAAAAATGATTAATAGTGGACTTGTTTTAATCTTTTTCTAAACAAAAATATAATAAAGTTTCATGATTAATGATATGGATTAATACAAATAAGTATATTTTAATTAATCACTAAATTTGTTATAAATCATGCCAAATATTCCATATCCTTTGTTCATTAAATCTTTATCCTTCATAATAAGGATATCACAAAGACATAATTTATATTAACAAAATGTTATAATCGTTTAAGCTTTCATGATATGCATTAAATCTTTCATCAATACATATATAGATGAACTTAACTATGAAATTATTACATTATAAATTTATTTAGAAAAACAAGAAAAATAGAAACTCAAGGAAAAAGATTTGCCATATCACTATTGAAAACTTGGGGAATCATGCTAGCTTGCTCATTCTCAGGTAGCTCAGGAAATTGAAGAGGTTTTAAGTTGTTTGTCAAGGGCGTTGTTTGCATTGCAAGTTGATCAAAACTAGAGTTGAAGCTACTCATGTTCATGAAGTTGGTGGAAACAGATGAGTTGTTGGAGTATTGTGGCTGCATAGCAACATTGATGTTTGGTTGTAGTTGTTGTTGTTGATATGTATTACGTTGAAGACCTTCATATAAAATACTAGTATTTTTCAATTGATTTTTCACCATTGCAAGCTCCCCTTGTAATGCTTCCACCTAAATAGCATAAAATGAGTTTTTCATCATTCATAAGTTTAAATCATAACATGATTTTTTCATGAGGGAATTGAATTAGGAACAAATAAAAAAAATAACATTGCTAAATTACTTTTTTTTATAAATAATATATATATATATATATATGCATAAAATTTCAAACACAATTTTGTTAGAAAAATGTTTTTAGCTTATTTAACAATACATCTTATTCTAAAGAGCTAAATATTACTTGAATCATTCCTTACTTTCACAAAGTAAGGAATGATTCACAACACGATAGCATTCACTATCCTAAAACACAATTTTATAATTTCTAATAATATATTGCATAATTTTTTCCAAGATTAAGCCTTAAACTAACTTATTTTATATTCAAAATGTTATAATTAAAGTTTTATTGATGAAACATTTGAAAAATGTTGTATTTCTATGAACAATAAATGAAAATCATATATAAAAACACCTTGTAGGTGGAGTTACTCATAACTGAATTTAGCATTGTTGACCTTTCACGCATTTATGAAATTTGCACTCAATTAAGTGAAGATCATGTGACTCAACTATCAATCATGAAATCCAATTTACCAAGAAAAAACTTGAATCATTCAATTTTCATTTGACAATTTCATGTTACTAACTATGTTAATGCATAGAAAAGTTATCTATGAAAAAATTGGATTGAAATTCACTCTATATAACACAACTCGATTTTTCAAAAACTTATATGTTCATTATAACTTGTCAATATCATTACATTTCCATAAATAACCAAAATTCATATATAT